TTTTCTGTGTTAAATCATCAAATTAAGGGGTTTTCAATTTGTTATTTTTTAAATGGTTCATTTTGACACCTGTTAATTTAGATATAGCCCTTTTTATCGAAATATGTTCACCTTTATAGGAGAGGCTAGAGAGGATGAGAGAGAAGAAGAACAGGCTACCAAACAGTATGAGAGAGATGAAGAACAGGCTACCAGTGAGATAGAGGAAGAACAGGCTACCAGTGAGAGAGAAGGGGAGGAGAGTGAAGGGAGAGAGAGAGAAAGACACAGTGATTCAGGAGCATTTATGGGGACCTCTGCATTTTGCTCAGGATCTTCCTGTCCATGCCTGTGACTGTGGCTGGAGGTGAGCGAGCTTTCAGCAAATTGAAGCTTATAAAAAACTACTTGCGCTCAAAGATGTCACAGGAGAGGCTCAACAGGCTGGCAATGCTTTCCATAGAACACAAGCTTGCAAAGAAGCTGGACACCACAAAAGTCTGGCGCATGGCACACAAAGTTAATGTTAAAATTTTCAAATAAATTGTTTGTTGAGTAATGAGTATTTTTTTGAATTTCCGTCATTTAAGGGTAGGGACTGAGAAAGTAGAGGTGTGTGTGGGTTTTTTTTTGGGGGGGGCCCATTGAGAGAATTTTGTCCCGGGCCCAGCCAAACCTGTCAGCGGCCCTGCTCAGTTAGGACAATTATCTGGATCTCTGTATTGTTCCTCTTCAATAGGGCCCTAATATTCTGTTGAGAGTTCTCAATATGCCAAAATAATAATACAAATATTAACAATGCGACTTTATTCTCTACACGTCCACTTGAATTGTTACAAGCAACATGATTAAAAAAAGACGAACTTCTCTTTTTGGTTTATTATGTCTGACCCTGATTTTCCTTCATATGTATGGTCAATGGGATGAGATAACGTCACGTGATCACAGTCAGCTGACGATGACATGTTTCTTTTTTTTTTTTTGGAGTCAGAGGCGATTTAGTGGCTCATGGTTCATTTATTGTTCTGAACTCCGGAGTGAAATCACAGTCGATGACCGCAGAGTCTCCAACACGGGACGATCACCCAGAAACACTGAGCCTTGTAGCCGAGTCACTGTGTCCGCAGCTGCGCTTGAGATTCATGAAGCTGTCGCTACTATGCGTTGTTGTTGTATGAAATAAACCAGAGAGGGAATTAACGAGAGAAGGCGGAAATCTGTTGTTGTCGATACACCAGCGATGCCTCTCTTCGCGACCAACCCATTCGACCAAGATGTGGGTGAGTAAACCAGGACCCGGGGGGCTAATTGTAGCAGGCTAGCTAGAAGTAGCTGTGGCCACACAGCTTTGTTTGTGTGGTCCAGCGGCACAGCATCCCTGTTAGCATCACACTGCTAATGTCACACATCTGCCCACACATCACACACTGAACGACATATAAGCTGGTGCTACAGAAGCTGATTCTGGTGCTGCCTGTTTCCCCTCGGTGTTTGTTGTGCTTCAGTTAGCCACTGGGCTCATTCGGCTAGCTAGCTTGCCACATCTAATGGGATTTAGCTAGCAGCAGTTAGCATGTGGAATCTTTGAAAACGTTTCATAAAGTCCCGACATTTGAAGAGATGAAACTACTTTTTCATACGTTTTCCAGTCGTGTTGCGGTAAAGTTTTTATTTTATTATCCAGGTTGACAGTCAATAGAAGTGTGACACAAATGTTGTCACCGGCTAATTGCTGCTAAGCTAACTAGCGTGCTAGCCGTCTGCCCCATCACTACCTGGCTGTAACCTGTGGTGTTCACCGACATGACGAGGCTGTCCTCTGGTAGTTTAGTGGAAGTGAAATAGGATGCGGGCTGATGGATGAAACCGTGAAGCTACTGTGTGTTCCCCTTTGTCTCTTTGCTGTGGGTCGAGTGGTTAACCACTTCATTAGCATGTGCAGTGAGCAGAGGATGAGCAAAGTGCACCAACACCTCACCTCAGCCCTCAGTCAGCACTTCAGGATCATCGGGGACAGCTCATTGTGGACTAATTCAGCGTGGATGGTTCATTTCAGGCTGTTCAATTGTGTTATTTTATATATTTGCTTGTGATAATCAACTTGTAACAAAGGGTATGAGTTAAATCACCTGTCTGGTTATAAGTTATTTGTTATTTTGATGTTTGTGTGAATAATTTCAATCTAAATATTCTGCAAAACATCAATTCACGCACATGTCCCTGACTCAGTGCATGAACCGCTATTCCACTGTGAAATATGAAGGACATTTCGGCATAGAGAGAAAATATTAGCACCCAACTCATACTGAATTTTGTGGGGCCATCATCCATACTGATATTAAGCAGTAAAACAACTCTTATACCAATATTTAATAAATGTATATCTTTAAAAAAATGAGAATGAGATGTCGATGTCGTTATAAGATGTCGTTATCAAACCCTTGTGACAAAGAAATTGCAATGTTTAAGTTTTCTGCTGTTGCTGTTCTTCCTTCCTGCAGAGAAAGCAACCAGTGAGATGAACACAGCTGAGGACTGGGGCCTCATTCTGGACATATGTGATAAGATAGGGCAGTCACGCACTGGGTTAGTCAACTGTCTTAAACTAATCCACACATGAATGCACACCTACACATCTCTCAGCTTTTCTTGAAATGTTTTTTTTAAAACACGATTTCAAAGGGAAGGCGAATGAATCCAGAGACACAAAGTGTGTAGGAGAAACATCTATTTTGATAATTTTCTGTGGCAGAGCAATTCATTTTCACAAACCTTTGATTTCTATTCTGTTTCATTCTGTTGCAGACCCAAAGAATGTCTCCGCTCTATAATGAGAAGAGTGAACCACAAGGATCCTCATGTTGCCATGCAGGCGCTGACTGTAAGCAGACAGGAAACAAACAGCCATGTTTGGTATAAGTGTGACTGTTCAGTTAATGGAGATGTTATGTTTTCTTCTGGTCATCAAACTTTATCAACACTTAATTAAAACGAAAGCAGGTGGTGGAACCAAATCAATTCTCAGGTTTTGTTGTAATAGGTGTTACATGTTTGTTGCCTATTGTTATCAATTGAATTAGTGAGTGAGATTAATATTTTTATACCTTTGTCCTCACAGCTTCTTGGTGCTTGTGTCTCAAACTGTGGGAAGATTTTCCACTTGGAGGTGTGCTCCAGAGAGTTTGCCAGTGAAGTCAGTAACGTCTTAAATAAGGTATGTGGTCATTTTGGCCCTCTGTGTTGTCCAGATAACCTCATGAAGTGATTGTGTGCCATCCTTGTTTTCATAACGTTTTGATTGAATATATCACCAGGGCCACCCCAAAGTGTGCGAGAAGCTTAAAGCCCTCATGGTGGAGTGGGCAGAGGACTTCCGCAATGATCCTCAACTTAGTCTCATCTCAGCAATGATCAAGAATCTACGTGAGCAGGGTGTTACCTTTCCTGCAGTGGGGTCCCAGGTAAGCCTGTGGGGGGGAAAAAAGACAAATACAGGATGTTGTTGAGTTCTTGATTCACCTAAGTATAGTATTTTTGTTTTTTTCACAGGCTGCAGAGCAAGCAAAAGCAAGCCCTGCTTTAGTGGCAAAGGATCCATCCACCTCAACAAACAAAAAAGAAGAGGAAGACTTGGCCAAAGGTAACAAGTCATTTAGCTAAATATCAGACAACTAAATATTACCAGTTTTGCAGTCCTCAGGTGTTGGTTGAGAAAAGGAGTATTATCCTTCAAAGATGCAATCACTGTGACCTTTGTCTTATGTTGGAATTGCATAAATCACAATTTAAACTGGAGTTATGAACTGCATTAATATTTAGGGAGGTTTAAAAGGTGTAAGGACTTTGAAAAGAAAAGTAACAATCTGACTCATGTTTGCAGCTATTGAGCTGTCGCTGAAGGAGCAACGTCCGCAGACGTCCTTGTCGAGCCTTTACCCGAGCACCTCCAACCTGCTCTCCTCGCACAAATCAGATGGCAGAAAAGTTCGCGCCATCTATGACTTTGAGGCTGCTGAGGACAACGAGCTCACCTTCAAGTCTGGAGAAATCATCACTATCATGGACGACAGGTGAACTACTCACACAAACAAATAGGCATGTATGCACAGCAAACCAGGATTTGTCAAAGAGAGGATTTGGGACAGTTTGATGCTGTTTGTTGTTGAGCATTCACATTATAGGTGCCCTGAAAAGAAATTACCTCTCGAGATTCACATGATCACATCTCAACCAATCTGATGAACAGCTTTTGGATTCTGTTCCCATTTGATGAAAACCTCTGAAATTACTTTTCAGGAATTACTAACAAAATGCCCAATATTTAAAAATATAATAAATTAATCGTACAATTAAGAGTGTATCTAGTTTGTCAACTCTTAAATATTGATTCTGGTTTTTTCAGTGACCCCAACTGGTGGAAAGGGGAAACATATCAGGGAGTGGGGCTGTTCCCTTCTAACTTTGTCACAGCTGACCTCACTGCGGAGCCTGAGATGAGTGAGTTCACGCACGCACGCACACACACACACACACACACACACACACACACACACACACACACACCCCGCTTATGTCATATCTAGTTCTTTGATCTCCATTTAGTCCATTAGCAGTATTGCTTTATTGATCCCTGAGAGGAAAATACTTTATCACTTACACTCGGCTGGTGAAACAATTCAAAGAACAATACAGTTCAATTGAAAAACAAAAACAACACAGTTGAGTTATTGCTGACATAGACAAAAATTATATATATATAGGACATTTGGTGAGTCATATGAGAATTGTCCTCATAGCAACACATTTATTATTATCAAGAGGTTTTACCTGATTCTGATGGAACAAATCTGTCATATAGACACAGATCAAGGTTTTTCTCCAGTAACTGCTGCGACGACATGTCTCGTGAAGTGATGCACGTTCTTTATTAATCCACTCACTTGATTCCTGCATGTGTTTAACATCTTCATTGCTGCTACAATGGATTCTACTGTGAGAGCCACAAAAACGTTTTGGCCTCAGGCATCACATCTTATGAACCAAATTTTCTGTCATCTCTATGGCTTCCTGTCCGATGTAGTCCAGAGGACATTTGAGCTCCATATGAAAGGACTGCATGTACTAGCTTGTCCATGCATGTCAGTAGTTTACAGATGCTGTGTTAGTTTGCATAGAAGCTGAAGTTGTTCAATACATTGTCAGAACCCACAGAAATGTATTGCTCATCATCACCAATGGCTTTCACTGTGTATGACCTTTGCTGCTGTCTGGTGATAGTTTGTCGTGCTTCTTCCTTACATCCAACTGTTTGATGCTTTGCAACTAAACTAGAATTCTTTTATTCTTGCTTATGGAGTCATCATATTCATTTGTGTGATGCTCCTGCAAATGTTTAATCCTTTGTTTATAGAATCATACTGCATGTGCGCATTCCTTATTCCTCCGTTTGTGAAAAATCACTTCACTCGACAAAGAACAGCCGGCAACTGCTCTTTGTGTCTATTTATTTTTCAAAGGCTTATATGATATTCTAACTTTTTCATCTTCATTTGATATCCGTACTAATATTTCACACTATTTTGGGATCTTGACTGTGAAACGACGCAGCGCATCCTGACTTTTTACACGTGTTTCTGATTGCTACTGTTGCGTTGTTTTTTTATTGCCGCATTCGCTTACTTGAAAATCTACAGTGAAGACAGAGAAGAAGACTGTACAGTTCAGTGAGGACATCCAGGTGGAGACTATAGAGCCTGAACAAGAGCCTGTATATATAGACGAGGTAAGTGCACAGGCTCATTCAGCTTCACTGAAATGTCACTGTTGCATCACTAAAGTAATGTTTCAAGATGGGATTTTTGATTTTAAAACCGTCACCTGTTCCTACAATGAATTACAATATAGTCTGAATCAAAACTTAACAACTATAGATACATTTTCTATTTTAGGAAAATAAATTGCTGAAGTAATTACCCCAGGATGTTTTTTTTAATTTGTAAACTGGATGTAATCACGTTTGAAAAATCAATGCAGTTTATGTGAACGTCTCATCAAAGAAACTTTATGTAAACATTTCAGGACAAAATGGACCAACTACTGCAGATGATCCAGAGTGCAGATCCCACAGACAACCAGTCAGACAGCGTCGAGTTATTACAGCTTGAAGGTAAACTGAAGATTGAAGACTGAAATAATCTGAGTAGAAGAATGAAGGTGTGAGAAAAATTGTCAGTTTGCAGCAACAACTGGTGAATTCTTTGGTTGAGTAGAGATGAAATTCCATTAAAAGACCATTAAAATATATATATTTTTTAATCAGGTGCCTGCAATCAAATGGGACCTCTCATTGACCAGAAGTTGGAGGATATAGACAGGTGAACTGTGCTAAAATGTTTTGTCTACAAACAACCACAAAATGCCATTATTGTGAAAATAAAACTAAAGACCATCAGACGTTAAAACATATAACAATTAATAAAATCAGACCCTTATTAAATATGTACTTATGTTCTATGTGTGTTTGTATTATCAGGAAGCACTCAGAGCTGTCAGACCTGAATGTGAAAGTGATGGAAGCTCTGTCTCTGTATGCCAAGTTGATGAATGAGGATCCAGTTTACGCCATGTATGCCAAGCTGCAGAGCCAACAGTACTACATACAGCAGCCCGCTAATGTAGCACAACAGGTACGGTTACACTGTGACAGTTATACTTCACACAACAGCAGAAAGCTTCCCATCATACACTGTGAATGCAAACACGTTTCACTTAAAAACACAGTGAATATCTTTTCTTCTGTCCCATGTATCTAAAGTGCCATCCTTCTTACCTTCGAATGCAGAGACATTGTCTTTGAGTGACATTGTCTTAAGTGAAAAAGGAAGAACACTTTTAATATCCTAATCTTGATACTTCACTTCAGTATTTAATCTGCCTCGGTTTCCCTCTTGTTATTCTGCCCTGGATTCCTTTCAGTCAAGCCAAGCAATTCTCACATTAGCAACTCAGTAGCAACTCTGTGCATGTCTCTGACCACAGGTATACCCTGGTCAGCCTGCATCAGGTTCATATGCCATGAGTGGTACTGCAGTGCAGGGTTACACTGTTCCCATGGAGCAGCTTCCTGCTGGAAGCTCCATACCTGGACAGCCAGCTCCCAGGTGAGTCCCTCGTACATCCTGTTGTCCTGGTATAAGCTACAAGTTGTTGACTTTAGCTCTGTCCCTTCCCCCTAATGCTAATTTTCATATTCATTCTGTTATTTGAGACATTATTGAACGCTGTCTTCTTTTGGAGAGTTTTCAGTATTATTGATTCAATTTTCCATAAATATTTGACAATTCCACCTTGCTGGAGTGTTAAAATTCATGTTGCTTCGCTCTTTCCTGTAGTGATGTTCATATGTACATGGGCCAGCCGCCAGTCTACACTGCTGCTCCAGGCAGCATGGCCCCAGCAGACATTCACTACCACAACCCAGCTGCCGCCCCTGGTCCCGCCCCAGGAACGACTCCCACAGGCATGACGCAGACGCCAAACTACAGCCACCCCTCCGGCCCAAGCATAGCACCTTCCACAGACCCCGCACAGGCCCCCTACTCAGAGAAAGCCTTGCTATAGGGCCCCCTTTGATCACTGTTATCCTCACACGCAAACACATACATGCACCAGACCTGATCAAATAGTGGTCTGAGATTTCTTTTATTAGATTTTATGATTTGTTTTATCAAGAAACACCAGATGGATGGAAAATACAAATAAGAGTAGACTAACCTTTGATTTGAAGAACTCACCCCAAGTCACACTTGGTCTGAAAATGGACTCTCGCTCTTCTCCTACGTGTCTTCACCTGATTTGGAGGAGACACGCAGGAGCTTTCAGTTGCACTTATTTAATTTCTCAATGTCACTCAAACCTCTTGTTGTCAAATCTAGATCTAATAGCAATATATGCATTGTCTATTTTCACGTACAAGACCTGGCATTAACCATTTCCTTGTAGTGACAGGACTTTTGAAAATTTGTCGTAACAAATCAAGTTATTGGTCTGTATTTTTTTATAATTTCTTTGGTAGTTTCCTGGAAAAAACTTTTAACTTTGTCCTGATTAATCTTTGCTAGTTTAGTTGAATTCATTGTTAGTTATTGATCAATTCCTGTGGAAAACTAAACATATTCCTCATACTGTGCACAGGTTTTGGATTGTATGATTTAAGACTAACCCTCACATTTTTGCATGTTCAGCTAGTCTATAGTGTAATTCAATTCTTTAGGTCACACTAGCAATTCATTTTAATTGATTTAACAGGTGAACCAGTTTCTATAGTGTTTTATCTTTGATACCAAATTCCAGAAACTTTCTAGGAAATTATTAAGAAATAACAGACCTGTTGAATAAAGCCTAACCAAATTGTTTTGCGATAACAAGTATAACTGTAACTACTTCAATCTAACAACACAATCCACATGCAAGCATCATTTAAAATAAATCACACAGGCATTCCTTCATGCACACTGGACCTGCACACTCCGATACCCACACACTACAGGCAGGTGTACAGCAGTTACACACACAGCGATACACTTGCAGCACTTGGCTCACACATCATCAGCCGTACTTGATGATTTACCTTCATTCTCACACTAACATGGAGATAAATCCACACGCCACAGCCTTCTCACCAACTTCAATCAATTGTAGTGCTAATCACCTCACAAAAAAGAGTTGACTTCCATTAACTTGCTTTTTCTTTAAATATCAGAAAATGGATGTTTAGCAATGCTAAAAAAAAAAAAAAACCCGTCAGGCTACTACACTTTTGTATATGTTGTCAATTTTAGAAGTACTGAAAACTGAAGCCACTTTGTTTTTGGGATGGAAAAGAAACGAGAGGAATTCAAGCATGCACATGACTCTTGTATATACTGTACTGAACTGGTAGTGAAGCCACGTGATGACCTCATGGGTGGGATGTCTGTTAAAACAGCTCTGGGTGGTTTCGCTTAATCTTAAAGGGAAACTCTGCGGTCATATGTCACAGATTAATGAAAAGGTGTAAAAGCCAAAGAGAAAAAAAGTGCGGAAAAAAATACCCACATGCTAGAAAAATACAAGATAATTTTCTTTTTTCTTTCAGTGACTCCTCACGTTATGCTGCAGAGTTTCTCTTTTTTTCACTCCGTCTCCGTTCAGGAGCTGTAGTAACAGACTCGTACCACAGACTTCAAAGGGGTGAACTCTCTGAACCTCTTCAGTGTAATTGAAGCATCTCTTTAGTCAGTGTTGAAAAATGAATACGATGGAGTTTTTTTTTTTCTTTTCTATTTTGTAGTGCATTTTAATTATGTTTTGATTATTGTTAAGCTATTTTAAATGGAGAATCAGTGCAGGATGTATCTATTCAGAGAAAAATGGAGTAACTGATATTCTGCTGAACTTAGTTGTATATTTAAATGGCTCACACGAGAACATGGAGACTTCTCTCTTTGTTTGATACATGCTTGTCGTACCGTAGGGTCAAATGGTAATGTGAAAACTGATCAAAACTCCCTTCCGCATGCATCTCAGACCTCTCATAACTTACAGCCATCTAACACTAAAACAGACCCTACCAAAACACTAAAACAGACCCTCCGCCGAGGCCCAACAGTCCTTGTTAATTCAACCAAGCTGCGCCGACACACTCATAGATATCAGTTTTCTTTAAATATGCTTGATGTTTTTTTTTCCTCATCAAGATCAATGAACAAAACCAATTTGCAGTTACAAAAATCGAACTTCCTTGGCGGAGGGGATCAGGCTTAAGATCCTGGACAAGCACGTTCAAGATTTGTAAACATTTTTTAACCAAAGTCTCCGTAAGCTATCGGTAACAGTGCCACTCTGAGGGATAGCGCAAATGTACAAAGTCTCCTTCTCATACATTTATATACGGCTCATTTATGTGGATTTTAAAATTCAAAATTCATTGGAAAAGAGTTCATTTTTACTGGAAACGATTGGAATGCAAAAAGCTAATGAGACTGGGAAATGATTAATGTTGTTGTATAATATCTAACGATGCTAAATGAAGTTATAAATCTGTTTAACCAGATGTCCCATTTGCCAGATGAATTCAAGTGCTGTAAATTTTGTGTTATTTCAATTTCTCTTGAGGTCCTACGTTTCAAATGTGCTGCTTCTTGTCATCCCTGTGCCGCCTTAAGAATCTAAAACAACCCGCAGCTCAAATTCTCGGTGCCTGGGACTTTGCGAACAAGACGTCATTTTATTCTGCAGACCTTGATTTTTAGCGTTAACTTATTCGATTCAAAGATAAAGAATCCCTTTATTTGCTGCCTTCAATGCTCGAGTGAAATAGTGTTAATCTTTAGGATCAAATAGGGTTCAACAATATCGAAGTAGCTGCTGTTCTGGGACCACGGTAGCAGGAGCCAGTTCGTCATCACACATTATCCTAATGTAACATGTTGCACCACAGTGTCTGCAGCCCCGATGATGTACAGGATTGAGATGCTGCCTGTTTTTAAGTTTGAAACCGACATTATTGTAAAGGTTCTGTCTAAACTTGTATCCTGCTGTTTGTATGTATTATTTTAATCATACTTATTAAATTGGTATTCACAATAAAACCAGGCCAAATGTACAGAATATTTATCGCCTTGTTTTCTTGATTTTATAGCTTTTTTTACAGATAAAGTAAAATACATTGTGTTTATTTGGTGATGTTTCCATTTTCATATTTAATCACACTTCTTGTTATATAGTTTACTTTTTTAGCACATGACGTACAACCTAAGGCATAATTTATGATGGTGTAATGATCAGAACTGTCCTGTGCAGCCCATCTAATAACCATCAAATATCACACTGTCACACTGGATGAACCCTGATGTTACACCCTTGTTTAGAACCAGTTCATATTATGGACTGAGACACAGTGTTGGATTTTAAACCAAATGTTCAGGAGGTTTAGAATGTATTGTTTGCTTTGCCACTAGATGGAGATCAGTGTACATGAGAGTGAACAAGTCCTGATGGAAGATATTTTTAAAGACCAAAAGCCGTTTTGATTTGCAACTCCTGAATATTTCAAAATGAATAATTATGGTTTAATTTTATATTACGTTTTAGATTTTGATGCAAACCTAACACCAGCTCGGGACATTTAAAATTAACTATTTATCTTTTTATTTTATTGCTATTTTTCTCTGTGAAAAAACACACTGTTAAAATGGCCCATGTGTCCAGACCAGCATCAGGACTCAATGTAATCTTCTCCCTCATTATTATGGGATGGGAGTGCTCCTCTTTGTGAGCCCATAAAAAGGTGAGCGTGACTTCCTCAGTACCTCAGCAATAAAAGAATACAGCCCCCGGTGCAGTGTAAGCAATGTCAGTGTGCAGAGTCCAACGGCTCCACTGGCTCGTTTTGTGGGAGATGATTGTCAAAGTCTTCGGCTCCAATTCCAGACCAGCAGCTGGCGTTCAGGGACCATGACCTCGGGGAAGACGGTCAAGCTGGTCCTCTACGAGGTGCTGCAGTTTGCAGCTCTCACCGTACCCATCTTTGTAATAATGGAGAGGTTTGCCTGCCTCATACGTGACGTGAAAGGACGTGATCCGACGGCCTACTGGCTTGTGGTGGCGGCCTCTCTCGCATATGTGACCTCTGTGACCCTGCTGGTGTGGGCTCCTCTCAAATATGTGATTCTGAAGCAGCAGAATTGCATCACAGAGATCACACAGTGGTGAGTACATGAGATGTAGTTGTGTGTGATAAGGTATTTACATGTAGGTCAAATAATTGAGTTGAGACGACACAGACCAGTTAAGAGACTGAAAATGACGAGATCACAAACCGTTTCAGGGACATTTTGGATGTTAGATCTGTAGAAGTAAAATTTACTTGACCAAAAAGAAACTGAAATTACAGTAGAAAGAATACGAAGAAGAAAACGAAACGAAATATGTGCTCAAGTATAAGTACCACATGAACTGTTAGTCTTGAATGAAATAAGCAAGTACTTGCTTTTGAATATACTTACTATACATTAATCAATCTCTTGGTGACTCTTCTCTAACTTTGACACGGTTAAAGTTTGTGTTAGTAAATACAACAGTCCAGTAAGTGTGTGGATACACTGTTCACCCAGTAGAAGTTAAATGACTTGACTTAACTCCACAAAGTAAATTGTAACAACGGATGACAGATAGATGACATGAGTCAAAATGTAATAAGCATAAAATGTAAATACTCAGAACTGTCAAAATTATACTTTGGGCCACTCTGACTGTGATGTTCTGTATGTGCACCTTTAAAAAAATAAATAAACGGAAAAAAAACAATTATTCATCATATTCAGATGATCGTCATTCACTCGTGGCCTAAAATGACCTATGTTATCTTTTCAGGAGACCGACGGCGCTGGCATATCTCATCCTGTGCACATTACCGTGCTTTGCTATTTTAATCGCCAGCTCCAAGGTAACGTCATCATGACTGATCTTCTTGTCACTGAGGAGCACCTGTTGGTGTTTTGTTCTGCCGTGCTCGGACGGGGTCCTTGAAGCGGCATATTTGTCGTAAACAGGCAATTTGTGGCACAACTTGTTTTTATGGGCCCCGCGTGTAAGGGAATGTGTTTAGAGCAGGAAAATGACTCAGTGAGTGATGGTAACTTGGCTCAGTGCGCCACGGAGGAAAAGAAAGGCATTGCCTGTCACCAGTTTTACTCCCTAGTCTCTTGGGATTTAGTTATTGGCTGAGCCTTTGCATGTACTGAGGAGGACTTTGGCATCATCATCATCATTAAAAGAAAAAGGCAATGGGAATTTGTGGCCTGTCACAAGACTCTACTCAGTCTGGGGTATTCAGTAACCTATAGTAAACATAACAGGTTTTCCATTAACTTAAATTCCACCCTCGATCTTAAAAAGACACGCATGTAATAATGTGTCCTTTTTATTCTCAGACAAGCAAAGACACAAATAAGAGCATTTGACCTCGAAGAACTTTACACATCAAATCTTTCTTCATCGTGTATCAGGGGCGTTCAGCAGCATCTTAATGTCTGTAGTTATGGGATAGTAAAATTGGACAGGTTCATAAAATCCTGAATGCAGGAGCTTGAGCCAAATGTAATGAAGATTTTCCATTTGGTTTCTTCCTGCTTCATCCCTCATAATTTCTAAGTGGTAGGTCAGTTCTTTCGACTATTGAATTCATATTTGTTTTTCCCTGTTATCATCACACTGTAGGTGCAGGTGGACAGTGGACACAGGCTCGACCATTTTTCAGAGTTGCCTGTTTCCTTGGTGCTTTTCTCCCTCATCTGTGTGGATATAACAGAGAGGCTTCGCCCCTGCAAGCTCATTGGACAATGTAAGACTTGAGGTTGTTGGCATTATTAAGAATTCTGAAAAGCTTCATTTTGCACGTTTTGTGCAACAATTTGGCGAAGAGAGGCTTTTTTCACAGAAGGATTTTTGGCACACCTCCTAATGTGCAACTGTAATGATTATCAATCTGCTATAGATGATACCATGTTGATTATTTAACTCAAACCATTTTCAACCTCGAGCTAATGTTGGTAGCTTTGCCAAGGACTTTATGATTCACCCCTGTCCATTTTTGGTTTTGTTGGTTTCTCTGTTATTTAGCAGGAATACACAAAAACTACTGAACGGATTCCCACAAAACTTGGTAGAAGGATGTGATATGCATCAGGGAGGAAAACATTAAATCAGGTGTTAGAACGTAAAATTTTATTTCCACTTTCTTTCACTTCAAATCCCCAATACATTCACTGGATTCAGATTTCTATTTCGATCCATACCAATTTGCAAACACTCTCCTAAATGGGCCTGATTTTGTTTCATCAAGCTCCATGAATTATTCCCTGGGAAATAACGGAAGATCCGTGCCCACATTTTTTGAGTTTTTTTCTTTGCTCATCTTTTCACCAAGTTTTGTCGAAATCCATTTAGAAGTAGTTTTTTCCTGTAATCCTGCTGACCAACTACAAACAAACAAACCAACCAACAAATGGACAAGGGTGAAAACATATCCTCCTTTGAGAGTTTTATAAATTTATAAAAATGAAAAACAGTGACAAAGAAATCCGGATCATTCACATTAGGATTTAATCAGGTCGGCGTCAGATTGATGAATTCACAGAAAGATTTTCATTAAAATCATTGTCAACAGATGAATACAACCAACGATCATGACATTGGCATTGGCTTTACCATAATCGTGTCACAGACAGTGTGTGGTATAAAAGCTGGAGTTGTGTTCCCTCTTGCCATTTGCAGCTGACAGCCTGGATCCTGACTTTGACATCCAAGGCCCCGTCCTCACCCACCTGGAGCAGGTGCCCACCATATCGAGCCAGCTGCACCCTGATGAAGGCCAGAACGGTTTGACCCCAGGTTCTCCAGAGGCCAAAAACGTCAGCACATCAGGCAGATGGCAGCACTATGCCGGCTCAACCATCCACTCAACCGTCAGCTCACGAGTGCCCAGCACTGCCTACCTGTACTCCTCATCCTCACGCCACAGGTCCTACTCGGGTAACCTCGGCTTCCTCTGGAGGAGGGATGGGAGGTTGGAGGTGTTTGTGGATAGTTTCCTGTTCTGGTTGGACACTGTGGAGATGGTGAGAGTAGCAGGAGAGCCCTCAATCTTCTACTCAGCCTGGGTCTTCCCTGTCTATATTCTCAGCTTCCTGTCCACTCTCCGCATGGTCATCACTCCTCACAACCCTTTATTGTCCTGTGCTGGAGTCGCTCTGCAGGACTTTCCTTTCTTTATCGTCCGGGTCGCTCTGATTGTTGTGTTTGGTTATGTGACGCCTGTGTTGTACCCGCTGAAGAATGTGCTGGTGAGCTTGATGTTTATCTACTTTACATTCTTAACCAGACTGAGGATTTTCAGGAGGCAGAGCATGTTTTGAGGAGATGACAGATTTTCTTCGATTGCGGATGCTTGAAAAGTTGGTATGCTTATGTGTTGGAAGCTGCACTGAGAAAACATGGTGGTGGATGATGTGGAGCAGCCTGTGTTGAATGGTTCTGTCTGTAAATGAACTGAAAGGCAACACATCCAAATCCCAATGGAAAGATGATTCTGTATTGTGTAGGTTGCAGTGTACCATTTGAATCCAAATGTATTTATTTAAACTTCATTTTATGTTTCCAGTTATGTTTTAATGGACTTTTTTGTATCACATTTGTTAACATACTACAAAGAGAGATGGGAAACAAATAATCATTGTAAACAAAACATTATTGAATAAAATTATTTTATTTTAATTATGTTTTTTTAATTCAATTGATTACAGCTCCACAAATCAATATTTTAACATTAACAACAGATCTAATGCAACTAATATTATAAACTCTTTCTCCAAGTCTCTGGGAATCAACTGGAATAAAGAAATATTTCTCTATTTAGTGATTTGACGTTAGGGTAGAACACCATGTTTCTCCTGAAGGTGTTTGATTATGTTTTAATACTTTCTTTCGTTCAGTGATGAGCTGCGTCTTCTTATCCGGGCAGAAATATCCCTTCATAGGACAAAGGTGATAACTTCTTATTGATTTGCTGTGACCTTTCCCTCTAAGAGGTCAAGTGATCCCAAACCATGCCAGGAAAATGCCACCTGTACAGAAGCATGTGTTTCTCCACTTATTTGTGCTGGTTTTTCCATCACATTCATAAGCTCCAGCAGGAGAGAGGAGGGTTCACACCAGACCTCTGACGTTTTTATGGTGATGACGCCAACCTGATGAATCACACCGGCTCCTCTTCCCGTCTGCGTTTCAACAAAGTGTCTGTTTTTCTCTTGTGATTTCAGATACAGTTCCCCAGCGTGTGTTTTCCTTCCATCACAGATCCAGGAGATAAACAGATTCTCTCTGTCTTGCTGGTTTTACTTTCTGGACTCGTCCTTGGCAGTCGCAAATTAGCATCTCCGCCTGTCTTCAGCCTGTGGCGCAGGCAACGTGTTGGTTATGTGCTTTTCGTGACCGCGCAACTCAATGGGTTGTAACCTTGGCATATGTGTGTGTGAGTGTATCACTAGTGACACCACAGACAGATCCTGGTGTGTAGTGTAATTGGCAGACCTCCACCATGCAGGACAAGTCTGACAGAATTATGCCCTATGGAGCTATTGGTCTTTGTCTGTCTGATGGATGAGTCGGAGCTGCAGGACAAACTGTTTAAGGAAATTGCCAAACCGACGACTCCTGTATCTCCTAAAGAAAATGGCTGAATTAGAAAAATAGCAGCAAACGTCCTGCTGCATCTGCGGTGATGAATTCAGTGATTGTCAGACAGACATTTATATCCTTCTTAATGTGGTAATGCATTCAGGACGGTGAGAGGAAGATTTGTTAAAGACGTTATTAATGATAAACACGTCGAGTGACAGCGATCCAGACAATAGCTGTAATTCACATTGAAAAACCAGAGCGGTTTTCACGTACCAGTATATGTGAACCAAAATTAACTCTCCTTAATTTCCCCACAGCCATGATCAGTCTCCTCCTTAATGATTCATACTATAATCTGCATTAGTGCAGTTCGGGTTATTGTGGCTGTTTTACAGGACGTCATGTTCGCTGCCTGGAGAGCACTTTTTTTTATTCTCGTGACACAGAGTGAACGATCTGAATGATCAAGTGAAGAAGCAACAGCCTCTATTCAATCCTCCTTATCTGACTCTGTAAGGTCCATGTTCAGCCATAAAAAGTGGCTCAGGCCTTTTTTTTCTGCAGTCAAATAAACCTGTCACACTGAGAAAATCTCTGCATTAATTTATCCACTTTCATTCTCTTGTTCAGCTGGTACACTGCAAAAATATTCATGTCATCAAGTCATTTTGGCCAAAAATCCCTAAGGTCTAATAGAACAAGCAAAAACTCGTGAGCACATACCTCTGCCAAAGAGTCTCCTTATGAAACCACATTTAAATTCAGTAGATCCAGGTTTTTAATTGGATCTGCACCAAATTGCAAATGCTCATAAACTTCAGTCAACTAATCATGCAAGATTATTTTCAAGATTCATGAATTCTCTGAGAAATCAACAAAAATGTTGAAAAACCAAAATTCTTCCCTGAACCCATATCTTTCTGTGGAGGTTCTGTGGTAACTTCTAACTAACAGACAACGATATAAACTAATGTGGATAAAAACATTGGCGGAGCTGAAAACCAGGTTCCCCACCACAGCACTGTCAACTCTGTAATTTGTCTTCAACACGAAAATCTATATTGTTAATCATTTCATCTGCATTTCTGCAGCTTTATTTCTCTTCATTGTCATGTTGTGCTCATTAGGATGTTTTAAAGTGTAGTTCGACTTTGCCTGTTCACCCAGTGTCTGTGTGGGTTTACTGTCCGGCTTCCTCCCACACTCCAAAGACTTGCAGACTGGAGTTATGTTAATTACACACTCAAATGATCCAAGTCAGTCCACCACTTTGGTTCAGACTCAAGCGTGACTGGTTGGATCGCAGCAGACTTTTGTGCTGTTTCTGTTATCTCGTGAAGTATGTCATAACATTTTTGTACAGACATTCATGGTCCTCAGAGAATGATCACCTGCATTTCTTTAAAGTTTTAAATGGAACTCACAATTCATTGTTCCCAGATGATGTAACCTCATGACCTTGGTGATCATATAACTTTTAGCAGCTGTAGTAACCCCAGGCGGTCAAAATGTTGAGGTTAATGACGTCCACTTGATGCTCAGCTGCACTTTGTGCTTCGTGCTTTTATCAAATGCGTACTAACATAAAAGACTCAAGCTTCATAGCATTGACCCTCATGTAGCTGCTATAGCATGACTGTACAATCTTAACCTTTGCCTAGAAACATGAAAATCGCTCATCTGTAGTAACTTTTACAAACTACTTGATAAATGTCGAGAACAGGTTGAAATACTTTCACTGCCCAGGCAGATTTTCTCAGACTTTGTCAAGTGTCTTTTAAAAGTGATTTTTTTTGTTGCAGTGTTTAAACAAAAGCAGACCGCCTCCTCAGCCCACTCTCAAGGTAACGTGAAAAATGAGGGAGAGCGCGACAGCCGAGAGGAGAAATTACACAAAAGGAAGCAACAGCGGAGCAGACACAGTGGAGAGAGAGGAGGAGAATGAGATAGAATGAGAGAAACAGAGGATACAGATAGAGAGATGACGGAGGGGGGGGGTGGTGCTGGGGGGGGGGAGTTGTTGCTGTTAAGGAGGGGTGGAGGCTTTGTAAATCTGAGAAGCTGGAGGCGCATTTGAATTCAGGCTGTGTGTCTCCTGCGCTATAGCCGAATGTTACCTGCTCTAGCATGGCAACAGAGAGAGAGAGAGGGAGAGCGGTGAGATTTAGCTGCAGCCTGCACACACACTTACACACACTCACACACACTCACACACACATGCACAGTCACAACAGGGGTGCAAAGAGTGACTCAGGTAAGCAGGAACGCCCCTGATGAGAGAGGACCCCTGAGAGAGGGGAGCAGCGTGGTGAAGTAAGAGGCAGAGATACTGGAGGAGGAGCCACAGAGCTGGGATTTTTGAGCAAAAGGAAAAGAGGAATCGCAGAGAACCCAAAAGAAATATCCAAATCTGGACTCCCAGGGTGGGCTTAAGAGGGAGGAGGAGACGGGGATACAGGCAAGACGGCCGTGGAGTGATGCAAGAGCTCTGATTGGATAAATCTGACAGACGACAGAGCACTGAGACACACGCAGGGTCGAAAATGACATTTAGTTTATGTTGCAAGACTATTCGTGGGGGCTTAAACTGGGGAGGCTGAAGGGGAGGTTTTTCCAACAGGGTGAGCCGGGACAGAGAAGAGGGGGTGAGGTGCGGTAAATAAACACATGGTGGCCACCTGTCCTTCTGGGATGAGGTGAGCATACTTACAACTTCACACAAGACATACCTCACACTCCTCGCCACATCAGGTGGGACAGCCGCTGGAAGTCTGGACCTGGACTCCCCCACAGAGCACAGAGACTTTGAAGATGCTGTGAAGACGTTTGGACGTTCAGTGTCGCCTGGACTCAAGAACTTAGGGGAGCCATTCTTAACCCCCCCCCCCCGCTCCAGGTGATCCTGCCCTGCGACAACCTGTGGACGCAGCAGGAAATTTGATTCTTTGTCTTTAAACTCCCTGAAGAGCTGGAGATCAGGTGGATCACCTGTGCCATGAGGATCCTGTGTGTGAGCCTGCCCTGAAACGACCCCCCCATCCCCTGAGGCTCGACCGGCCTGTCCCCTCCTCACCCCCCAACTGGATGTCTTGATGTATTGCTGTGGGCTGGGACACTGGCGGAGAGTGCAGTCCACCTATGTAAGTGACCATTGCAGCATCACTTGCAGCATCCATCCCCATCTTTTTTTGATTGCATAGCAACAGTGGAGTTGTTGTGTTGCAGTGGGGGGGGGGGGTATAATATGTCTAAAATTAACTAGAAAATGCATGAGTCAGCACAGATTATTTTAACGTGCAGGCAATAACTCTGCATACTTCCACAAATACTGTTGATGATTCATTCAAATATATATATCCAGGCATCTGCAGTATGGAGGCATGCACAATAACACCAGCTGTGAGTGTGACTCCTACAACCTGTTTTTGCGGTGGAGGTGTTCACTCCTCAGTGATGGACTGTGTGAGTTTTCAGCCGTGTTGCAGTTTATCAGGACGGACAGTGGCGTTGTTAAACAGCTCTCTGTATTGATCCCAGTATACAGGACTTCATGAAAACATTACTTTTACAGATTATTGACTCTTTCCTCCCCGGTTAGTTTTTTACCCTCATGAGGCAACAGTTTGAACTATTTATGGATATTTTTATGATATGTTGCACCTCGAAGATAAAGTGAAAAATACATGACAGCTGCTTAGAGGAGCTGTTCTCCCTCCCATCATCTGTCTTGAGCTGAGCTGTCTGCCCTCCCTCGCTCCTCCACTCCTTCAGACAGGTGCATTTTTCACATTACAGGCCAGGTTTTACTGTCTTCTCAATGACAGAGAGGAGCAGGGAGCACTCTC